AGGTAACCGCAAAACATGTTTTGGTTTTTTTTTTTTTTTTTTTTTTGCAGGCGTGTGTGTGAACAGCAAATTAAATGTCAAGTTGAATGACAGAAGCCCGAAACATGAGCACATGGTGTTCACTCGATGTCACCGTGGATAATCGTATTCACGGGTTAGGGATAGAGTGACAGGTTCGTTGCCAAAAAGTGTCCCTAACTAAGAGTACTGTTACGCTAGAATAAAACGACTCAAGTCAAAAAGTAGCCCTCCAAATAATTACTTAAGAGTAAATATTTGGTTTGAAAAAAAAAACAACTACTCAAGCACTGCGTAAATTAACCTTATAAACTTTGAAAACGTCTTTTTATCATCAGCGCGTGCACATGATACGAAATAAAATGAATTCAAACTGAAACAGATTACAAATGCGTCAATTCAGATACCGTCCCACAGTACCTAAATACAGTTGTGTCTATGAATAAATGCTCGGGGTGCACGTCTTGGCAGTAAAAGACATGACGATACGTACGCGTCGGGTACGATACGATTCAAGGACGGTGGATTTTAAAATTGAGTTGGACTGCGTAAAATCAAAACTGATCCCTCATATCAATATATATCGATATCTACTGTATATCTATATCTACAGTATATATATCTATACACAGTAATCCCTCGTTTATCGCGGTTAATGGGGACCAAAACCGCCCGCGATAAACGAGAATCTGCGAAGTAGCGACCCCCCCATACAGGTACATGTACATGTGTATGAGTATAAAAAATATTTACAAGGCCAAATTTAATGGTGTACATGCATGTAGTACATTTTGGAGTAATTCACATTACTTAATGATGTATACTAATAGATTTAAACATGTATAAGTGAGGTTAGGTTAGTGTATGAATAACAAAATACAGTAAACATATACATGTAGTACTGTATATGTTGCTCTATGTGACTCGCTGTCACTTTCGCTGCTTCTCGTGGACTGTTTGCGGACTTTTTGCGGACTTAAAAAAAATACATATATATATATAAATAAATTATTTTTTTTTTACCTGTATATGTTAATTGGTCGCTCCT